ATTTTAGGGTTTTATTATATAGGTTTAATCAGAATATTTTTGTTGATTATAATGTTTAGTTCTGAAACTGGAGAAAAAGCATTACATAGATGTAAAGCATTAATTTGCTAAGTTTTAGTATAGTACTAATAAGAATTTTTAAACTCATGTCAGTTAGCTGAAACAGTAAGAAGGATACTGAAGATTAAGTAGTCAACAATGACCAAACTCTAAACTCAGCAAACTTCTCTAGCATCTATAATTTTTTTAAAAACCCAAAACGTATTGGCTTCTTTATTGGTTAAGAACACTAAATGCAACAGGCAGAAGGTCTGTTTAAAAACAAATTAAAAGTTTGTGGTTTTGTTTTTTGGTTTTGTTTATTTTCAATTCTCTTGACAGATATATACATACCCACAAAATGTGAAGGGGAACTCATACATAAAAAGTTGTATCCTGAATTAAGGGAAATAGCTATTGAAACAGGAATTAACAAAGTCAGCAACAGATTAATATTTAAAAGCTGAGTCTTCAAATACTGTACAGCACAATGCTATTCTATATAAAGTATTATACTAAGAACTGCTGGATATGAAGGAGGAAGTCTATAGATTTTAGTAAAAATGCTTTTCCAGGAAAAAAATCAAAACACCACAATCACCCTTGTGCACTGCTGGTGGGAATGCAGACTGGTGCAACCACTGTGGAGAACAGTATGGAGTTTCCTCAAAAAACTGAAAATGGAACTCCCATTTGACGCAGTAATCCCACTCCTAGGAATATATCCTAAGAAACTAGAAACACCAATCAGAAAGGATATTAGCACCCCTATATTTATAGCAGCACAATTTACAATAGCTAGGATTTGGAAACAGCCTAGGTGCCCATCAGCAGATGATTGGATCAAAAAACTATGGTACATCTACACAATGGAATACTATGCTGCCATAAAAAGAAGGAATTCTTATCATTTGCAGCAACCTGGATGGAATTGGAGAACATATATATGCTGAGTGAAATAAGCCAGTCAATGAAAGAAAAACACCACATGATCTCATTTATGGATAATAAGGAACATTATAAACTGATGAACAAAAAGATAGATACAGCCGGGACCGGTTTGGCTCAATGGTTAGAGCGTCGGCTTGGGGACTGAAAGGTCCCGGGTTCGATTCCGGTCAAAGGCATGTACCTTAGTTGCGGGCATATCCCCAGTAGGGGGTGTGCAAGAGGCAGCTGATCGATGACTCTCTCTCATCGATGTTTCCAGCTCTCTATCTCTCTCCCTTCCTCTCTGTATAAAATCAATAAAATATATATTTAAAAAAAAAAAAAAAAAAAAAAAAAGATAGATACAGAGACAGTAAAGAAACAAACAGACTGTCAAATTACAGCGGGGAGGGGAGGAAGATATGGGGGAGATAAGAGATCTACCGAAGGACTTGTATGCATGCATATAAGCATAACCAATGGACGCAAAACTCTGGGGAGAGGGCATGTATGGGAGTGCGGGGGAGGGGGGATTGGTAAGGTATGTACACATATAATAGCTTAATTAAAAAAATGAGGAAAAAAATTAAAAGAGGTCAATGGGGGAAAAAAACACACACACACAATCAGATCAAGGAGTGTATCAGAATGTCAACATCTCATATTTGTTATAGAAAATTCTTTTTATCCATAATGGACTAAAATTTCAGGCCAGAGTGGACACTTTGAACATTTCTTACTCTATCCATATAAAGTTCTCTGTTTCTTTCCCCCTCACCCTGTAATTCAGCATGAGCCAGTAAAAGGATGGCTGCTTTTGGAATGGGGTGAGAATGTCATAGAACCTGGGTACTTTATGCTCGTATGACATGACTGGCATCCCTCTGTGTGCAAAAAGCTCGGCGAACCTGGCTTCCCACTTTTGCTTCTTCCATTGATGAAGGTCAGCTGGAGGAGGGTGTATTTGTCACTGAACCTTTGAGACTGGAGGACAGTTTCCAAATATCAGGTTCCATTCCTGCAGGATCTTTCCTGTGGGCCATGAGAAAGATGTTCTTCTGAACATAAAGAATATGACATGATGCACAAAACCAAAACAGGCTTGGACTCTGAAAAAGAGTGCATATACAGTCATCCCAAATCAAAGCCACTATGGAGATAGTACAAATTGTGAGGCGACCTCAAACCACAATTCTCCACAGGATATCTTAAAAAATAATAAAAGTTTTACTGAAAGGAAAATGCATAGCCTTAAAATTAGGAAACAAAGAAAAATAAGCATTTAATTTTAAAAAATGAGACTAAAATAAAGGTAGACAAAGCAAAAGAAAATGATAATAAAAAGGGAAATTATAAATTGGAAAATTCAAATGCTGACTTCTTTGTCAAGATAAAAAGAATGTAAACTAGATAAACTGGCTAGCCTGCTAGCCCTGGCTGGTGTTGCTCAGTTAGTTGGAGTTTCGTCCTGTACACTGGCAGACAGCAGGTTCAATTCCTGGTTAGGGCACATGCCCAGATTGGGAGTTCAATCCCACAACCCTGGCAGGAGGCAGCTGCAGGCAGCAACCGATCAGTGTTCACTCACATCAATGTTAAAATCTCTCCCTTCTCTCTAAAAATCAATATTAAAATATTTTTTAAAATAATAGACTATCTTGCTCAAGAAAAAAGGGAATATGAGTACACAAGATTAGAAGTATTTTTTTTAGCCCTAACCGGTTTGGCTCAGTGGATAGAGCAACGGCCTGCGAACTGAAAGGTCCCAGGTTCAATTCTGGTCAAGGGCATGTACCTTAGTTGCGGGCATATCCCCAGTGGGGGTTGTGCAGGAGGAAGCTGATGGATGTTTCTAACTCTATCATATCTCTCCCTTCCTCTTTGTAAAAAATCTAATATATATATATATTTAAAGTATTTTAAAAAATAGAAAGTGCTTTATGAGACTATAAATAAACCAGGATTTTTTTTTAAAGGAAACCCAGTTATCAAAATGACTTCAGAGAAGAGAACCTAACATCCATTAACAATAGAAAAAATTGAAAATGCTACCAAAAAGCTACCATTCCTCAAAACACCAGGCCCAGATGGTGTCACAGGTAAATTTGTTTTGTTTTTATTTAAGTACAGTTGGTATACAATGTTATATTAGCTTCAAGTATTTAATATTCAACATTTTTATATACCTTACAGTGTGACTGCCTCACTAAGTCTGGTATCATGTCGCTATGCAAAATTATCACAATATTATTGACTATATTCTCCTTCTAAAGGTGAATACTTTTAACTTTGAAGGAAAATATAATCTTGATAAGATTTAAATTGTTCACTATCATAAGGAATGAAAAATTTCTTTTTACAAAGCCAATGAAACATTGACACCTGAACTTGACATAATAATCAGTCTATGAGGTAGGTTACATGCTGATTTTATAAATGAGGAAATAGCCATAGAAATGTTGAGTAACTTGCTGAAGGTCACACAGTAGCTATGTGGTGGAGCCAGGATTTGAGCCCAGGCAATTAGCTGTAACTCTTACAAGTTACATGGGTTCTGCCTCCAATATCCACATGACCATCCCAGTTGCTTCTTACAGAGTTCAAGGTAGATTCTTGATTTAGTGTTTGTGGGAAGGAGTGAAAATGGTTGAACTTTAGTAAAACAGAAATAATATATATTTCCTTCTCATATTTGAACTAAGAGCCCTATTCTCAGTTGATTATTAGTACTAGAAAGATGGAATCCATTTTTTAAACATGGTTTTTATTGATTTTAGAGAGAGAGGAAAGGAGAGTGGTAGAGAGAAACGCTCTTATCCACTGAGCCAAACCGGTTTCGGCATAAACAACATTTTCATGAAAAATAACTTGTTCAAAAAAATTAAGAAGAGTGTGATTTACAGTTTTGCAAGTTTCTTTTAATGTCTGGCTTAAAAGTTAGGTCGGGTCTCATATCTGCTTCTGCATTCAGTCTGTTGTACTAGTAAGTTGTTTTGGTTGAGGTATATTCAGAAAATCCAGCATCATATTGTATGTAGTTGGAACAAGGAGAACCTCCAGGAATCCTCAGAAATACTTGGAGAACTGCTAACCTATGAGGGGAAATGTAATAGTGGCCAGAAATTGGAGGAAGGTTTCGGGGGGGGGGGGGGGGGGAAGCCATATGTTTAACACTGTTTTTAAAGGTTTATCGATTGTCATTTTATTATTTGTAGGTTAAAAAAAATCCTTCATGAAGAAGACAGATCTTAAGCCACATGATGGATTCAGAAGCGCATAAAGAGAGGTCGCCAATCATAACATCTTCAAAACAAGATATATCACCTCATATTACAGATGCTTGTGAAAGGAAACATTATTTGTGTGGCTGCTGTGCAGCTTTCAGCAACGTAGCGATCACATTTCCCATTCAGAAAGTCCTCTTTCGGCAACAGCTGTATGGCATCAAAACCAGGGCTGCAGTGCTTCAGTTGAGGCGGGATGGATTTCGAAACTTGTATCGCGGAATTCTCCCCCCGTTAGTGCAGAAGACAACCACCCTGGCGCTTATGTTCGGTCTGTATGAGGATTTATCTTGCCTTCTCTGTAAGCATATTCGCACCCCAGACTTTGTGACCCGTAGCATGGCAGCCATCCTCGCAGGGACAACAGAAGCAATTTTCACTCCACTGGAAAGAGTTCAGACACTGCTTCAAGACCACAAGCATCATGACAAATTTACAAACACTTACCAGGCTTTCAAGGCACTGAAATGCCATGGGATCGGAGAGTATTACCGAGGCTTGATACCTGTTCTTTTCCGTAATGGGTTCAGCAATGTCCTGTTCTTTGGCCTCCGGGGCCCCATCAAGGAGCACCTGCCCACCGCCACGACGTACAGCACTCACCTGGTCAATGATTTTATCTGTGGAGGCCTCCTGGGCGCCATGCTGGGAATCCTGTTTTTTCCAGTTAACGTTGTAAAAACTCGCATGCAGTCTCAGATTGGTGGGGAATTTCAGTCTTTTCCCCAGGTTTTCAAAATAATCTGGTTAGAACGAGACAGGAAACTGACAAATCTCTTCAGAGGTGCCCATCTGAATTACCACCGGTCCCTCCTCTCTTGGGGCATAATCAATGCAACTTACGAATTCCTGTTAAAGATTACATGAGAGAAATAATTAAGTGCCATGTACCTACTGACTAGACCTTTAAAGAAGAATGTAGTTTGGCCTTGTTCCTAACTGGCCAATATAAGTTGGTGTTGAAAGTTCAGGAAACAATGAATTATGGCAAAGCTGTTTTCCTTAAGCACCAACAAATTCAGAATAAAAGGTTTGAGTAGAAAAATGTAAGGGTTTTTTTGTTTTGTTTTTTTAAAATATGTTTTTATTGATTTCAGAGAGAGGAAGGGAATGAGAAACATTAATGATGAGTAAGAGTCATTGATTGGCTGCCTCGCGCATATCCACTACTGGGGAGCCCGCAACCTAGGCTTGGGCTCTGCCTTGGAAGCGATGCTCCAACACTACGCCACATGGTCAGGCTGTTTTGTTCTAATTACCTGAGAATTCTGGGCTAATTGCTTGGTTAATAGCTGTCTATCTGATGGATGGTTTTTTTTTATGAGGAAACTAATAGCCAAGATAGTCTTTTGCCCCAAATCTTAAAACCCTTATTAAAACATAGACCAGCCAGAGAAAGGCTCTTCGGTCCCCTTGAATTCTCAGGCTTGCTTTTATTACTCCATTTCTTGCTTCTCTCCTCTTAGGAGGAGTTGCAAAGTGTAGTCTGCTAAACTTAAGCATATACACAAGGAGCAGGACAAGGAAGAAAGCTTACTAGGTGTAAGCTTTTCATGATAAATTGCTTGTATTGGTTTTGAAACAGCACCTGTTAGGATAATCATTATTCACGCTGCTTCTATTTAGGCATGGTAGACTCCAGCAACTAATGAAAGCTCCATTTGCTTTCTGGATTTGAAAGCTTTCTGTTTAATTCTGAATGTGACCTTACAGCTGTCCAAAATATCCCCATGTTACTTTCACTTATTTCATTGCCAAAATGTGAGGAGACTTAAATTTTGTCATAGGCATTTCATCTTATTAAGTTTCATATTAATTATGTAAAGATCAAACTCTCTTTAGCTCAGTTTCTTTGAGTTATTGTTGCCAACCTAGCAAACAGCTTTGGGGTTTTTTCCCCCCTTTGGGTATTAGTTGGTCTTATTAAAATATTCTGTTCTCTTGAAACTCCTTTTAGAAAACACTTCCATAAAACTTTATTTTGAAAGTCTATTTAATAGAATCCCAGGTTTTTATTTCTGGTTTCTCAATGTTTTGTCTGGGGGAGGGGGCACTCAGGATAGCTTTCACCTCACAGTGTTAGCTATCTTTTTTTAATTTTAATTTAGTTTTGGAAATAAAGACTTGCATTAGGATTTTTACATTTTAACATTAAACCCAATTTTACCATTTTATCATTAAAACAATTTGAGAGGATTAGATCTAAATAAAGACATTTGAAAGGCTAATTTTAAATTTCTAGTCTTTGGTAATAACTGGATAGATTAGTCATCCCTTATCTAACAAAAACATATTTGTCAAAGGAATCAGATTTTAAAATATATTTTCCCGATAAATCAGTCAAAATGATTCATACAACAGTTGAATGATTAGTAAAACATGAAACATACTAGAAATGTGGTTTATTTTTTTAAAACCTACATCTATAAATATGTAGTTAGGATTGCTTTCCAGCATCTGGCATGGCAGAGTAGTTAGTATTCTTACTACCAGTTTTTCATCAGGCTGGGTAAATGCATATGAAAATGTGCACGTAATGACCAAAATAAAATCAGGGTCTCAATTGGTAGCTTACTCAGTTTTCTGGGCAGATAGTCCAAAACAGATTTTACCTCTACATGCAGTATCGATGGTCAAATAAAATGAACGTTCTTCCAACCAAAAGGATTAGAAAGCATAATCAAGCATTTGTTAGGCAATAATCAAGCTCAGGAGATTTACACAGCTCTGCTTGACAGTGTTGTGCTAAAAATGGCAGTTTACTTTAATATATTTTGTTTTTTTTTAATAGAGAGGAAGAGAGAGGGAAAGAGTTAGAAACATCGATGAGAGACATCGATCAGCTGCCTCCTACACACCTTCCTCCCTCCCCCCACTGGGGATGTGCCCATAACCAAGGTACATGCCCTTGACCGGAATCGAACCCGGGACCTTTCAGTCCGTAGGCCAACGCTCTATCCACTGAGCCAAACCAGTTTTGGCAATGGCAGTTTACTTTAGCAACCAAGGTGCAGATGTCAGGATTTTAGAAAACTGTCACCAAATAAATGTGAGTAGCATCCTTGGGCCTATCAAAGAGTCAAGAGTGAGGACTGGAAGCAGTTCTTTCAGAAATGAAGACATTGGCACTGTGGTGCCTGACCCTCATTTGGGTGAGCCCTGAGCACTGCCTGTCCAGGTGCTCAGCACGTGGCAGGGGAGTTGGCTGGGGTCATACTCTGGACCTGGGAGAGGACTCCATGGGCCTTTGGTTCCACAGGGCTTGCTTTTTGTCTATACACTCCATGCAGGTAGTAGAAATCTTAAGTTCTAAAGCACTTTGTAAAATACAAGTGAAGTGAGAGTATAAAGGAGGATGCTTTGGTTTCTGCTGTCTCAAATATGTGGTATTTACAAACAATAAATATTTTTAATGGTTTTAACTCATACTTTTGGATTTCTTTGTCACCTTTTACAGCTTTTGAAGACCAAACTGCTACATTACCAGGGATGGTTCTTTGTTGTCCTATAGACTTCTTAAATTTGACAAAAAGTTTAACAGAACTTGTAACCAACAGCTTTGTCTGAACTTGAAAATAAGTCAAATTTATGTTAATAAGATTCTACCTACTGTTTTTACCTTCAGTGTGAATTAGTACAGTAATTCTGAAAAGGCAAATATGATTAACTATTTGAAAAGCTTTAAAAGTGGCCCTTTCTGTTACATATATGTGACACAGACTGCTCATGAGCACAGGGCACTTCTGGTTTTGCCTCCTATATTCATGTCTGATGTTACGGATTCCATATTTAACATACGTAGAGTGGTATGAGCCCTCAGGACTGCACCACAGACTAAACACAACCTCTATATGATGGGAAGTTTGTGTATCTGTTTCATTTGTGTTGGAGATAAAATTGATGTTGTTTGTCTCAATAGTCAATATTCATCTTATAGTTACATAATCACCTATATATTGTGAACTGTGCGGTAAAACAGAATTGTGTACATATAATCATTCTTTGGAGACCTGAAATTCCCTAGCTCAGTTACAGTGGTAATACTCAGAAGGCTGTGCAAACGTGTGAGTGAATAACGGGTGGCAGACAGGACTTGTGAAATGGGATCCGGAGGGCTTCCTGGTAAGCCAGTCATGTTGACCACCACTGGTGCAGTGCGGAGGAAGTACGGAGCATGAGGGGTATGCGGTCAAAATGAAGGCAAGAGAGGAGGTCATGTTTGAAAAGATTTGATTTCTTCTAAATGAAAATAACTTTCCTGTTTTCTCATGCATATAAATGCATATCAAAGACTTGAACACCTATTCTTACATTTGAGACTTTTTAATGCTGTTTTCCTCCCCTTAATATTATATATTTGCCTAAATGGCTCCCAAATTATGGGGCAATCTCTTCAGTACGTGTTTCCGTTTTTAAAGTTTCATTAAAGTGGTTAAGCACACAAAGCTGTTTTTGTTTGGATTTTGTGACTGTGAGTTTAAATGAAACCGTTAAATGTTTCAGAGTTAACATGCTTCTTTTGGTAATTCTTTGTGGAATAAAGTTTTCTTTTTTTACGTCCATTTGGTCTTTTGTGGTTGGGTTAGTTACTAGCACATTTCCTTTTTGTGTATATGGTAAATTGAAATTAATCTATTAGTGTTTTGTTGATAATACATTTAGCCACGCTATTTTGGTTATTGCAACTTCCTCTGGGGAACAAGAGGAGTTCCAAATAACTTCATTTTCCAGAATGAAACTGCAACGTATTTTGATCTTTAAAGCTTTTCTCAAGTGAAATTTTTTTCCTACTGAGTGTAAAACTGTCTTGATATATTCAGTTGGCCAGTAATTTCTGTTGTAATCATGTACCTTTGGGTCATGCTTACCCAGGCTAGATGGTCTAAATCAGCGGTTCTCAACCTGTGGGTCACGACCCCTTTGGGGGTTGAGCAACCCTTTCACAGGGGCTGCCTAAGACATCCTGCGTATCAGATATTTACATTATGATTCATAACAGTAGAAAAAGTAGTTATGAAGTAAGCAACAGAAATAATTTTATGGGGGGGGGGGTGTCACCACAACATGAGGGAACTGTATTAAAGGGTCGTGGCATTAGGAAGGTTGAGAACCACTGGTCTAGATGTTTGTGCATTTCAGGATTTTTCTATCTGCTTGAAACTTCATAGCTGCTCCTTTGTTTTCAAGTGAAGCCATATTAGCACACTGTTGGTTTACATGTAAAATTGTAAGGAGCTCCCTGTGTCAGGAGAGAGGTGTAGCTTGAGGACAACTAAGGGAGCAGTTGCTGTAAAGTGTTTCTGAAACTCCAGTTTAGGTAGAAATTCATTATAAAAGTGAATATCCTAAACTTTATAATTGATAATTGGGGTGTTTTATATGCCATCTGGTGAAGTGTCTTTTTAAAAATATATATTTTATTGATTTTTTTTTTTTACAGAGAGGAAGGGAGAGAGGGATAGAGAGCTAGCAACATGGATGAGAGAGAAACATCAACCAGCTGCCTCTTGCACACCCCCTACCGGGAATGTGCCCGCAACCAAGGTACATGCCCTTGACCGGGATCGAACCCGGGACCTTCCAGTCCACAGGCCGATACTCTATCCACTGAGCCAAACCGTTTTTGGCATGGTGAAATGTCCTTTTAACCCATCTGCGGCAGCCATTATGGACCACAGAGTGAGGGGAGCATGTAGAGAATATTTCTCAGGGCGGGGGGGGGGCATTGAGCTCACACAGCTGCAGAGCACTCCCGGGCTCCCAGCAGGCTAATTTCCCACTTAATCCATTTAGACACTGAAGTTTCCATAGAGAACATTACACACACACACACCCTCCATGAACATATC